TCGATCGCCGAGCTAATCGATCGGCAGGCGTGAGCAATCGAGCAGCGTGTGATGGATCAAGGCAGGAGCAATCGAGCACAGAGTGATGGGTCGAGGGAGAAGCGGTGGAGTGCAGAGTGATGGACAGGCACGCCCACACACTCACGCTCACACTCACACTCACACTCACACTCAGGCACACTTGCTCCCAAGCCACGTGACCGCCGCGGCGTCACTTGGCCCCGCCCCACTGGGGGACACGGCCGTGCCGGGGGACAATGGGGACATCCCGGTGTGAGGGGACTTTGCAGAAGCTCCGCTGAGCGGCAGCGCTCCCGGTTACGTCACCGTGCCAACGTCACTCGACCCCGCCCCACTGGGGGACACCCCGGGGCGGGCCAGCGCGGCCCCCGCTCGGCCCCCGCCCACCCGCAACCCCCGGCGCAGGAAGGAGAGCGGAGGCAGAGCTGGAGGATGCACGGGAGCTTTTACCGGGAGCTTTTACCGGGGCCGCTCCGCCGCCCCTCCCGGCCGACATCGGCCCGGGCCCGCCGCGGCTTTGGGGCCAGGGCGTCACAAGGCGCGGGAGGAGCCGCTCCCCGAGGGACAAGGGACAGAGCGGGGCACGACACGAACGCTGGGCACGGACTGGTGCAGCCTCAGAGCCCTGGCAGCGCAGGGACAGTGACACGGGGACAGTGACACGGGGACAGTGACACGGGGACAGGGACAGAGCAGCTCGGCAGGTCAACAGGGGACAAAGGGACACGGGCGGGGCCCCTGTGAGCCCTCGGGCTCCCCCAGCTCGGGGGTGGCTTTTTTTGGGCTCCCTGTGCAGCCTCATCTCCTTCTCCTGGGTGCTCCCAGGAGGCTGCAAGGAGCTCAGGAGAGAATAAACTTTGTGGGATCCCTGCAGGGATCGAGGTCCCCGAAGGGATGACAGGAACAGTGTCCAGTGCTGCGTGGGGACAGCCAGACCCCAAACTGTCACACTGGGGTGTGAGAAAAGTGCAGAGCTGATGCATAGTTACAAAGCCAACACTGAGAAACATCCCGGGGCTGTTAATTAATCTCACTAGAGCAATTACTGAAGTGACACTGGTTTGGCCCAGCTAAGCTCAGGCTCCAGGCTCAGGTGGAGAGAGGAAGGCTGGGCCAGGCTGGGGATGGGGCAATTGCCACCCCCAGGCTCCTCCCAGGACCTAGAGCTCAGGAATGAAAATACCTGGTTGGGAGAAGAAAAAAAAAAAAAAAAAAAAAAAAGGCTTTTCCCTTAATTTGATTTGGTCCAACAAAATTGTGCTTCAGAGAGCAGAAGAAGCATCAGCAGCCAGGGCTGGCTGCAGGCAGCTACTGAAGATGCTTTGTCTCCTCACATGTCTGTGGGAATTTGCCTTCAAACCCGTTTCACTGAACCTTTCCTTCCCCAGATTACAAAGTGATGCTCGCTCTGTATCCAGGCATTGGCAGAGCAGGAGCAACTGCTCAGGGAGGCTTCAGATAAGGGATAATGGCTTCATGTCTGAACAATCTCTTTGGAAAAAATTCCTGAAAATATCTTTCTGTACTTCTGGCTCTCAGAACCACCCAGTTGATGCTCTCAGGGCAGTTCCCAGAGGGTTCCTCAGCCAGCACGACCTGGAAGCTCAAAGCAAACAGGGACAGAGCAGCAGCTCCAAGGAGGAGCTCCCAGAGCTGCTGGGCAGGGAGGGATGGGTGGGTGGGAGGGACACTGCTCACTGCTGTGTCCTTCAGCCTGGGCTCACTGGGGGCTCTCAATCCTGACCCCTCTGAGCTGCACCACACCTGGTGGCCCTGGTGGCCATTCCTGGTGTCCCTGTGCCAGCCTGAGGGGCACAGCCAGGTTTGTCACTGACCCTGCCTGAGCGAGGCCATGCAGGGCACTGCCCTGAGCTCACCCTCAGCTCAGGGCTGCCACAGCCCTGCCACACAGACTGTCACTGCCAGAGTCCTCACACAGACTGTCACTGCCAGTGTCCTCACACAGATTGTCACTGCCAGTGTCCTCACACAGACTGTCACTGCCAGTGTCCTCACACAGACTGTCACTGCCCCACGACCCCAGGCTGGCCCCAGCAGGGAGCAGGGAGCTGCCCAGGGCTGCTGGTCCCATCCTCAGCACGAGTGTTTGGTCAGAATGGCAACGCTGCTCCCCGTGCTCAGATCAGCCCTGCTGGGGTTACACCAGTCTGAACAGGAGCTGCAAACAGATGAGGGTGGCTGGCACACCCAGGCATGTGCCCTGGCAATGGATTCAAGTATTTTCACTCCTGTGACAATGGGAGAAAGGACACGTTGTGTAAACTGGAACCACCTGGAGCTCGGCCCCAAAGCAAGATCCAGAGCACAGCCCTGGGCTGGGAGTGCCTGCAGTGCAGCACCAACGTGTGGCAGGGAGGTGAGGAGGGTTTGCTGTAACCAAAATAGATCTCTGAAGTCTTTGGCCATCTCAGTGGGGCATCCAGGTGCCTGTTTTTAGGGCTGCAGGTATGGCTTTGCTCTCTGCAGCCCTTCCTTCAGGAACTGGAGGTAAGTTGCTGTTGAAGGGTCTTCAAAATTGGTTGAGAAACTAAAGATGCTTCTTTCAGCATCTTCAGGCTTCATAGAAGTAATGTCCAGGAAATAGTTGGCATTGATGTGGTGAATCTGGCAAAGAAAACACAGGAGAGGAGACTTGTAAGGGTCAGAACAATTCCCCACCTGCTGCCCTGGCCTGCAGCCAGCACAGAGGTGCCAAGGCTGGAACAGCCCTTACAGAATATCTCATTCTTTGCAAATGCTAATTCAGGAACCAGAATTCAGGTCTGAATTTTACAGTCAAGAGAAAAATGTGTGATCTTCCCCCAAGGGTGCTGACCTTTGCTCAGGTTCTTAACCTAAGAAGATGATCTGGGAAAAATCAGAGGCTCAGATCATGTGTGTGAGCAAGAGCTGGGGAGATGGAGCCTGGGGGGCTGCAAAACCTGAGCTTCCAACACTTCCCACAGAGCTGGGGAAGGGGGACACGGACCCATTGTGGCTGCTGGGGTTTGTCACAGCCCCCAGCCTCGTGGGGACAGCGAGGGGACCCTGCAGGTGTGAGCAGCTGGGGGCTGGCACAGACAGCACCACGCTGCCAAGGGCCAGGAACTGCTCCCCAAATGCAGGGGAAGGGCAGTGGGGGGCTGGGTGCTGGAAGGTGCTGATCAGGAGATTTCCTTCAAAGGATGAGCACCAAGGGCCATGGGGGCAGGAAACAAAGCCACAGTGGTTTCCCAAAGCCCAGGGACAGTGAGGAATCACACTTGGTTCCAGTCTGTTCTGGCTCTGAATAAAAATCCATTTGTTTCAGATTTCTAGGGAGAGGGACAAAGGCTCAAGGGGCAGTCCCAGGTGTGGGACACCCTGCAGAGAATTCCATGGGGACAGCCCAGCCCTACCACCGTGCCGTTGGGGAGGCAGATGATCATCTCCACAGGGAAGTTGTATTTCTCCAGGTGCAGCTTGGCCAGCTTGCTGTGGAACTCATTCTCTCTGTTGTT